TCGCAACGGAAACAAAGAGCTTCCTCGCCTATAAAAATTTACACAATGCCAAACAATGTGACCTCCTGTTTTAGCGCCCAAGAGCTCCCAGCGTGCGCCAATGGTGGAGGGGGGGACTTTCATGGGTTTTTGGACTTGGATCTGTAGTTCACATTGTATAGAATGTGTGGGTGAGGGCGCAGCCCAAACAAATGATGGAGAGTGAATATTTTTTTAGGGCGGTGAAGGTGGAAGGTGCTGCAGATGCATGGCCCACTCCCAGTGGGCGCCAATAGCAAATGGCAGGACTCTTCATGGGTTTTTGGACTAGGATCTGTAGTTCACATATAGAATGTGTCGCCGGGTCTGCCGCCCAAACGAATGATGTAGACTGTGTGGGTGAATATTTTCCAGGGAGAGGGGAGGGCAGCTGGTGGAAGATTTGTAGTAAGTAATAATAATAATAATCTCTCTCTCTTTCTAAAATAAGATAGAACGAGACTTGAACTTCCACCATTGGTGGAGCATAGCAACTGAGAGGGATGGGCGGATCTATCAGATCTGCCATCGAGGAGCGATATTTGTCATTTCCTCTGGCTTTGCATCAATAATCCACTAGGGGCCGCTGTAAAACATCAATCAAGTGGAGAGCAGCTGGCAAAGCCGGCTGCGAACCGCTTGTATCCTATATGAATGCCACTGCTGCTGTCAGGAAGGCTAATGAGGAAAATGTCAGTGCATGTTCCTGGGTCTTCCATGGTGGGTTCCATGAATGTGGGTGGTTTTAAATGTTCCAGTATGGAACCTACAGTGGAAACTCCACTGACTCCACCATGTGTTTCATAGTGGAACATTAGCTGAGTATCAGGTCTGAGAAGTTAAGTGGGATCCCCATTTCAAGTTGTCCTAAGTACTTGGGTGTCGACAGTTGGTCCCGACCCACTTCAAGTTTGCTTGGTGATCCAATCTGATAGAAGATTCTAGACGGGCGGCCCCAAGTGGCAACTTGAATGTCTTGATCCGCAACTGCTGCCTGCGCCATCGGTCCAATCACCAGGTATCGGTATTGGTATCGGCTCGTCTCGGCTCCAGGGGCTTCCATCTCGGAGTCCAACAGTACACAGACCCATATTGCAACATGCTCCAATTAGCTTCATTGAATACGGCCCTTTTTCTCTCAGGGAATCCCCTAAGTTGCTCAACAACCGACAGAACCCATTTGCCAAAGGTTGCAGCCTACTGTAGACTCATAGCCAAGCCAGAGCACAAAGTCCATTTGCACCCTCGCTTATAACTGCAGATGGGTTCAAGGTACAGAATTGTTGTAAACATTTTGTTACAGGAGGCGAAAGCATGTGGAGGACTATCCCTTTCAATCCAAGTTGGCGACTGTTCAGTGAGAGCATATCTAGAATTGACCAGTGAAGACCGATGTTCTGACGTGGTTGAAATCAATGCCATTTTTTTGGTTCTGAGTGTTGGTTGGGGTTGTTCAGAGATTTCAACACCCGCTCATGGCATGCTGGGACTCTCGGCCGCCTGCTGACCAGGATTCTCATAACGAACCTAGATAGTGATGGGGTGTGCCCTTCATCAGGTATGGAGAGTGTGGATGTGGTTTGTCCTCGAGGCAGGTTGGGTGGTCGTTGTGATAAAAGTTTCTTTGGGGGTGCAGTCAGGTGGTCTGATGTTGCACTGATAAAATGTTGGTGAGCTTTCATATGATGCAGTACAGTGCAGTTTTCTCGCTCACATCCTATGGGGTTGGCGAGTGCAACAGAAGTAAAAGCGGGATCTTCAACGGAGGCAAATCTGTTTGATTGCCATTTTATGTGATGGCAACAATGGAAATTTCAAAAAAACATATCAATAAGAACCTGGTGGAAAACACTAAGACAGAGATGAGACAGTCAGAAGTTGGATGTTGCTTTTTTGAACGATGATGAGAGTGAGAAGAAAAAGAAAAAGGTGATGGTCACTGGAGGGGAAGGAGCGGGATTGGGTGGATTGGAAGCTGGTGCAGGGGGTGCTCGATGAACACCAGAATTGTCCTCGTCATCTCCCCCGTCATCGCGCACCACCGGTGGCATAGCGACAGGAAGATCAACAAAGGCAGATGCAGGTCTCCTAGGACAGCGCTTGAGAAGATCAAGCTTGTTCCCAGGGAAGTAGCGCTCGTCAAAGACAGCACACTCCGATATGACCGTTTGCCTGGTCACAGGGTTGTAGAACAACCAGCCCTTATATTCTGTAGGATAACCCACAAAAATGCACTTCTGGAAATGGCACCCAGAAGCATCTCTTTTATCCTTCTGCACATGCACATACGCAAGGCAGCCCCAGACACGAAGATGAGACACATCCGGCTTATGCTTATACCAGAGCTCATATGGCCATCTCTTTGGAATGAGATCATAGATCCCTGCATGAGAATAGAGTAGCCATGAATGCGAGACAGATAGGTAGTAGAGATGAGGTTATGAGATAACCCAGGAACATAAAGGACATGTGTGAGAATAATAGCTCGTTCATTGCGACCTGGGAGGGATGGCCGCAACACTATCTCTCCCATCAGCTCAGAGTAAACAATGACTCCGTTTGCAACTTGGATAGGAACTCTGTGCGGTTGGGTGTTAAACAAGCACTTCTTCTCAGAAGTCATGTGTGAAGTGCACCCAGAGTCTGAGTTCCATCTCCAATCAATAGCTGATGGGGAATGGGAGAGATAACAAGCATTTGAGGCGAAATGGGACACTTCTGCAACACCCTTGGCAGGCTCACTCCTTCTGATAAGCTCGAGAAATTTGGAGCAAGATAGGAGTGTATGAACACCTTTGCCACATGCCTGACAAACAGCAAGTTGGGATTGATGTGCAGATGCAGATGCAACAGGCAGGGGTGGATGAGAGAAAAGGGATGTGACTGGCATAGCAGGTCTCAGAGTCATATGTGATGCGGATACACAATGCTTTATAGAACCAAATGCCAAATGGTCAAATGGCGCCCTCAGGAGTGTGTGTGTGAAGGAAGAGATATAGGTAAGATAAGTAACTAGCTAATTGTCTAATGAACACCCAGTTGTAAGGCACTTGGGCCCAAACCCCAGAATCAACGGATTGATCACCGTTTGTTTCCTGGTGGATTCAAAGACTATGTTGGAAAATGGCTGAACCCGGAATCGAACCGGGGACCTCTAAGTGATATTTGCGCCACTAGTGCTCTTTCCAACTGAGCTATTCTGCCGATAGTGTGCAAGGAACAAATCCGTACTGCAACAGAAACATGTAAGGACAATGGGAGATAAAGTTAAGGACCCACCACCGTGCCAAAACACGAGTGCAGACAAGAATTGATGGGATTGATCGGGATGTTCGCACCGATCGGCCGCACCACGTGCGATCAATAACCATATACTAGAACATAGTAGGGGTTGGGTTTATTTAAGTCTGGGCTGCCAACTAGAGAATGTGTTGAAGCACACAGAAAGTTTAGTAGTTAGGAGCACCAACTGTTGGGACGAATCCTCTTTTGTGAGGTAGTCTTTGATTCAGTTACATCCCGTCCCGGTTGCGTGGGGAATATGCTAGAACAAAGGGAATAGCTAGAATGGAAAACAAATGGAACACTATAACAAACAAGATACAAAGGGATATCCAGAATGGGAACATCTAGAATGGGAACATCTATAACAAGATACAAAGACTAATCCCACGGCAAGGGATCCCAAGCCTGCAAGACTGAGAAGCCCAAGGATGACTCTGTTGTGGTTGAACAGGACGTAGACACGCAGAGCAAGACCACTGCTCAAAGCGGTGCAGAAAGTCATAGGGCAAAATGTTGAGCACCTCCTGGAATAACTTCAGCATGTCGTGGGAGTTGGCACAATAGGGAAGAGGATGACAGTATCATTGGAGCCACTGACCAGACACTTCATCCAACACCAATCCAGGGCATTTATGCCCACATCTACACCCTTTGCAGTGGAGGGGTGCCGGGACGTCTGGAGTCAACAGTAAGAACTCTGTTAGATTGCATGAGATGAAACTACTTGCCTGGAGTCAACAGTAAGAACTGAAGATCCAATGCTACTCAAAGGAAGTAGCTAGAATGGAAACAAAGGGATAGCTAGAATGAGATACAAGGGGAAGGCCAGATAAGTAACTACAAAGAGATGTCCATATCAAGAACAAGGGGACATCCATATCTGGAACAAGGGAACATCCATATTGGGAACAAGGGAGTATCCATATATGGAACAAGACCAGACGTGAAGGGATCAAAGAGGATCAATGATCGGATCACATAGGATCAGATCAGATCAAAGATGCGAGAATGTCACAGTCCATTCACTAGACTCGCGAACCAGTCGACGTTAACGAAGGATCTCAGTGAGAGATGGAGACGTAAGCCTGAATTACTAAAATCACACAAACAAAGCCAACAATCAGACAAAGAGTGCACAATGGGGAGATCGTCGTTAACAGACTGGGCCCTCTTGGTACTGTTTTAGCAGGGTTTTGAATGGCCCGCCATTTCAGAGGTCCTGACTTAGAAAAAAATCGACCTGGGGGCTTCTGAAATGCTCTGAAAAAGTGTCAAAACTGCCTATACCAAAGTGGGGCAGAATTCGATTTCAAGTTGATTGAGCTCACATTGTTTTGGGATCTTACACCAAGTCGAGCTTGTCGCCGTGCATGGACCATTTGACAACGACGACGACATGAAATCTGCCGCCAAAAAAACATGTGGGGCTCATTAGATAGAGAATTCAAAACCATCAATTATTCATACAGGAAGTTTTGAGCACTTTTTTTCAAAGTTGGGAGCATATTTTTCCCAAGTACAGACCTCTGAAATGGCAGGGGAAGCAAAACCCCACTTAAAGTGCGCCGAGAGGGCCCAGCCGGTATCCAGGACTGTCGAAGCATTAGCGAGTGATGGATTTGGCTCTATTTACCTGGATACCGGATAGGGACGAGCCTATCCATTCACACACTCCAACATCCAATATTGTTGGAAAGTGGCAGAACCTGGAATCAAACCGAGGACCTCTAAGTGATTGCGCAACTAGTGCTCTTTCCAACTGAGCTATTCTGCTGATAGTGTGCAAGGAACGAATCCATACTGCAACAGACTGTCCCAATGTGTCAGTCCGGAAGACTCAGTTTCTCAAACTGAGCCATGTCATGAAAACAGGCACACCAGGCCGAGATTGATGCAGATCACAAATTCCTGATGGGGAACAACAGAGAATTGTTGGAAAATGGCTGAACCCGGAATCGAACCGGGGACCTCTAAGTGATTGCGCCACCAGTGCTGCAACACTCCCCGGTTACTAAGCACTATTGGCTTATGTAACTCGCAAAGGGGGGCACCATTTTCCTAGGCACTCTCAGGCTGCAAAGAGACTGTTTCACTCTTTGACTTATAACCTGTGAGTTCCTGCTACCATGTTGGAAAATGGCTGAACCCGGAATCGAACCGGGGACCTCTAAGTGATTGCGCCACCAGTGCTCTTTCCAACTGAGCTACTCTGCCGATAGTGTGCAAGGAACAAATCTGTACTGCAACAAGAGAGATGTGCAGAAATGCGCAGATGGAGATGAGGGTCTCAGAATAAAGCTTAAGAAACGCTCAGAGGGCGGGGCCCATAACCTGTTAAACAGGCAAGCACAGAGGTCTGGAGTCAACAGTAAGAACTCTGTTAGATTGCATGAGATGAAACTACTTGCCTGGAGTCAACAGTAAGAACTGAAGATCCAGGGCAATGCTACTCTACTTATATACCTATGAGGACAATAGAGTAGCTAGAACAATAAGAACAATAAGAACAATAGACACAGTGCCCCCCTTTGCGAGTTACATAAGCCAATAGTGCTTAGTAACCGGGGGAGTGTTGCAGTACAGATTTGTTCCTTGCACACTATCGGCAGAATAGCTCAGTTGGAAAGAGCACTAGTGGCGCAATCACTTAGAGGTCCCCAGTTCGATTCCGGGTTCAGCCATTTTCCAACACTCACTTCAAAGTACTACCCAGGCAGAGGACCCCAAATGACAGGCCGGCAGGGGAGATGATGACACGTTGAGCAAGAGGAATTCGACGAGAAACAGGCGACATTGCAAAGTGAAAGGCAACATACCAAAATAGCAGAATTGATATTTGTCCAACTTTCCAGTGAATTGAAAGTTTGTATTTCCTGGCGATGGAATCCTGTTGAATCTGGGGTTAGCATAAATAGTAACTCACCTTGGATGGAAAGAATCGGCGAAGATTGATCAACAACGCGCGAGTGCAAGGGGAGAAGTTTATGGCCCAAGCTAAAAATTGAGGTCGCCAGGCGAGCCAAGTGGGATAGAAGATGGGTACCGTTGGAAAGCAACTGAACATGCGGTCCGAACACACCTATCCTCAGCCCAAATTGATCAGGTATTGGGCCCAAACTGAGCGTTGCAAGCAGGGAGCTCAAGGGTGCAGCAGTGGATTTTGGTCAAAATTAAACCCATGAACTAGGGATAAAGGCTGGTACAGGTGGATAGCCCTGTTGAAACGCTTCTGGACGCGTCTAAAATTGTGTCATTTGGCTGAGAATTGGGCTCATAATAAGCGTGGCAAGAAGGTGAGTTTTTGTTTGCTCTTCTTTATGAAAATTGATGGAGTGTCATTACATCTGCAAACAGCTGTAAACAATTTTTGTCTGGAATGCACAGCGAACCGGCACCTCCAATCCTGAAATCTCACCCTTCACCATGACCGCCAAAGACACCCAAGACACTGGTTCTCAAGATACTAGGAGGTTATACTGTACTGGTGGAATTACTGATCACTTCGGCATGATGCAAGTTAAGTTGATGCCAAAATCCTTGCTACCAAAAGCAGTCCCTCATGGGAGTGCAGGAATTGACCTACAATCCAGAATAACTGATCTAAGTGAAAAAACAAGCCGCAGTTGTTTTCAGTTCAGAGCTTCTTGGCCTCGGGAATCGAGCTCTTTCATCTAGAACACTCTCCGGGGTAAAAATAATTAGTCAAGTTGTTTGTTGGCTTTGATTTTCCGGAGCTGTAGGTGGCCCCCTCCAGCGTCCCATGTACCGTGCCGGTCCCATAGCCTTTTAAAACGGCGATGGTTCTCTCTTGCGGGGCATCGAACGGAATGAGTGCTGATTTATTCCCCGATCTTCCCAACATTGTAGCCAAATCACAGAGGTCTGGAGTCAACAGTAAGAACTCTGTTAGATTGCATGAGATGAAACTACTTGCCTGGAGTCAACAGTAAGAACTGAAGATCCAGGGCAATACTACTCTACTTATATACCTACAAGAACAAAGGAAGTAGCTAGAATGGAAACAAAGGGATAGCTAGAACGAGATACAAAGGGAAGGCCAGATAAGTAACTACAAAGAGATGTCCATATCAAGAACAAGGGGACATCCATATCTGGAACAAGGGAACATCCATATCGGGAACAAGGGAGTATCCATAACTAGATGAAAAGGGATCAAAGAGGATCAATGATCGGATCACAGAGGATCAGATCAGATCAAAGATGCGAGAATGTCACAGTCCATTCTTGGGGAGATATGCTCTCTGATGGCCTCGGACAGTTAATAGCACTCAGAACACTGGAAATCTGCAATAGTCCCAACACACAGAACAGAATTCCTGATGTTCTGAACAAATATCCAAATTTGACTGGAGTGAAGCTTATATTTCCCGAGATTTTGGAGGCAAAAGTACAGCCCCTCCCGAGTGCAAACCCAATTGGACTTCCCAGCATGTAGCATTTTGATGGCAGTCTGGCACTACTGTTGGCTTATGATCTTCCTGGGTTGGTGAATGTTTGAGTTGATGTGAGGATGTTGACCGTGGACAAAGTGCCTGCCATGTTTTGTTCGCCGGTGAAACATTTAACAAATATTCAGAACCTCGCCTTTCTCACGAATTGGCTGCTGGAGAGGCTTTTTTCAGAGATCGGCTTGCTGTTCTCGAATATCAGCCAACCCTCGCACTACATATGATATACTTAGATTCTGGGGCCACCCATGGACCTAACATCTCGTCGTGAGTGTTTGTTGAATGCCCATCCCCATCCATACAGAGTTCCTATCACTGTCCTCATATGATTGTGTGCATTGTCGTTGGTTGTTCAGGCCTATCTTCAGCACTTCCTGTGAGAAAGGCCTGGTGACAAGAAAGAGAAGGTTTCAATGTCGTGGTGGTTCCAGTGGGAGATCCAGCTGGAGAACTGGATATATGTATGTATACTGGTTCAATTGTGTACAGCTGGGACAACCACCAACTTACCCCAATGGCCTTGAACAAGGCGTGGAGGTGGAGTTTATCTGTCTTGGAACCAACACAGAACTATCTTTGGTGGTATGTGAATCTGGTAGAAACATGAGGGAGGCCTTTCTCAACCCTCTTGAGTGTAGATCTTGGGTTCCTTCAGATCAGTCATAGCACAGTGTTGGAAGCATCTTGTAGTAATGCATTGCTCATGGGAGCGATGTTGTAGAGGGCTTAGTTGATGTATGGGAGAGGTGGTAATGTTTGCAGTGGTCGACAGCGCAAGATGTGTAGAGAGCATACAGAAAGGAAGTGCCAGCAATGGTAACAGTGATGCAGAACATCAGAAATATAATGACAGTTCAATGACAGCAGCCATTTCAAAAATGATGTACAACCATTGGACAGGATACACAGAGAAGGAAACCTGAATACATATGGCCCAGCAGGACCCATTTGTCCCCACTGATATTCTCAATACAGATTTGCACCCCCTGTTCCCTCCGTCAGAGCCGGCAGTGTCAAAAGCGGCTACCACCAACTTCGGAGGACCTATCTATGCATTTTATTGGTTGACCCTTGGGTAAGGTGCGGCCTCTATTTATTGTTGAACATGTTGTCGGACCTTGGTGTTTACTTTACGATACCTTATGTGATTGATAATCATATCACATCTGATCCAGTCCTGATCCTATCATGATCCGCTTCTACATCGGACTCTTATTGTACTGATATCAATCTTATTTGTTCTGATTGTGTTGATACACATCTTATTGTTCTATTGTTCCTATTGTTCTTATTGTTCTTATTGTTCTTATTGTTGTAGTTAGTCTTATTGTTCTTGTAAGTATCTAAGTAGGCTAGCATTGTCCTGAGTCCTCAGTTCCTTACTTTGGACTTCAGGCAAGTAGCACTTCACAGTCAATCTAACAGAGTTTCTTACTTTGGACTTCAGACCTCTGTGTTTGCCTGTTCAACATCAGGCTCAAGGTTAATGACAAAAACATGCACGGTGGGTTCGAACGTTCCACTATGGAACCTACAGTGGCACTATTGGAACCCACAGCAGAGTTAGTGGAGTTCCACTGTGGGTTCCTAGACATTCATAGAATGTGCCCATGTTCATTGAACCATAGTGGAGTTTCCACTGTGGGTTCCATGGTGGAACATTCATAGAACTGACCCACGTTCATGGAACCCACTGTTGAAGACCAGGAACCTGCACTGCATGTTTTCCTCATTAACCTTGAGCCTGACAGAAGCAGTGCCATTCACATGTGATATTGATCTGATGGATCTGACCCTGCATTGTGTCCCTTATGTCATGCATTACCCAGCTTCATGGAAGCCTATTCCCTTGCCACCGTTGCCATGGCTTCACAGCATTGAACAGGTGCCGTGCCCATTCCGTCAGCCATTTTGCATGGACTCCGACGGCACGGTGATGGCACAGCTAAGACCGGGGATGTGTTAAATGCGACACTCTCAGATTCAGACTCCTTAGTGGATTGAGTTAAGTTGCAACACTCTCATGGCAAACACTCCAGTCTGGAGTGGTGGAGAGGAGTTGCGACACTGTCGCTTAACGTGATCAATGTTGGAGTGTGTGAATGGACTGTGACATTCTCGCATCTTTGATCTGATCTGATCCTATGTGATCCGATCATTGATCCTCTTTGATCCCTTCACATCTAGTCTCTTGTTCCATATATGGATACTCCCTTGTTCCCAATATGGATGTTCCCTTGTTCCAGATATGGATGTCCCCTTGTTCTTGATATGGACATCAACACACCATTGTGTGGGAGATCAT